ACTCGGTCTATTGGGGGGGGGGGGGGTAGGGAGCATGTTTCGTTGTCATGCCTTATACTGGAAGGAAAGTATTCTTAGCAGTGCCAGTCTCATGGCAGCCCGAGACTGCAGGGCCACACTCTGTTAGAGTTAATGTGGCGTGTGTTGTGGTGCTCAGCTATGTACTTAGGCCTGCAGATAATTTACCAGTGAATCAGACGGTAAGGTGTATATAGTACCCTAAGACATGTTTTCTTTTGGGGCTAAGACACGGAATTGATTTTTATTCCTATTCCCTGTTTTTTACTTGGAGCGGTAACTACTTTACAACACACACACACAGGGACCATGGGGAACAGAGGTAGCCACCCTCCAAAAGGAAGGGCAGTGTCAGTACCAATTCAGAGATTATTTGAGGATCTACAGCCCAGTAATACACAAATAAGGTACAATTTTGTTCATAGTTAAGGTACTTGAATGCATTTGTAAGATTTAACTCCTGAGTTTGTCACTTTCATAAACAGAGTATTACAAACTGCAGGTGCAGAATAATAAAAAAAAAAAACTTTACAGTACACATTTTTTTTAAATCGGAACAAAAAAACAATACACATTTTGAAAAGAGGTGGACTGTCCCTATTCTAGAAACTTTGCATTGTAATGTAAAAATGTTAGCATGTCCACATGTTTGGGGTTAAGGCTGGCTCTCTTTTTACAAGTTGTTGCCTGCAGCAGAGAAGAGGCACCCTGATGGTGTGGAGGTGGCTGGGATACACAAGTAGGATTTCGCAACTTTTGCCAAAGTAGGATATTTTTTCTTGGTTTGCCTTCCACCAATTCAAAGGGTTTCCTTCCTTGGCAAGGGGCCTCTCTGCAAAATAAGTCTGGACTTCATTTCTAATATGAGCATGTATATCCTCGTTCTCTTCTTGCCCCTCTTTAGTCTCCACTGCTGCCCCCAGACTCAAGGAGTGATGCTGCAGATGTTGAGGGCTCAGCAACTCTTGCAGGTGAAGCGTTTTGTTTTTTTTGCTGCTCCCCCATCTCCCTTCTTATTGCAAGCGCCTCTATCAGGACTTTTGAATGTACAGCAAGAATTTCTTCTGGCGTTAAAAATTTCAGTCTTCTGAATCTTGGGTCCAGGGCAGAAGCAAGAATTACGGTGTACGGGATCTGTTCAGAAATGATTCCCTTCCATCTGGTTTGAAGCTGGTCTGCTGCAGGCTTGGAAGCTCTTCAGCGCTTGTGACTCGAAAGAAGGCCCCTCATTGGACCGCAACAGCCCCTTCACAAGCGCAGGCATGGAAGACGGAGAAATATAATCTTGGCCACTCATCAATACGGTAGCAGACTCAAAGGGCTAGAGAGCAGTTTAGAATTTGTTGAGAATACTCCAGTGTTCTGCTTTTAAGTCCAGATAGTGTTTTCCCCTTAGAGCAGGGATGGCCAAACTCCAGCCCTCCAGCTGTGGTGAAACAACAAATCCCATGAAGCATCTCTCTCCGGGAGTCATGTCTGTGGCTGTGAGAATCTTGCAAAGCCTCATGGGATTCGTAGTTCCACCACAGCAGGAAGGCCGCAGTTTGGCCATCCCTGCCTTAGAGTAACTGATGGATCAGACAAAGTTGCTGTTACTGGCCACCTTTGTTCATTGAGTCTCTCCACTATATAGTAAGTACTATTCTACCTTGTGCTTACATCTTGAAGTAGCTTGTGCTCGGGTGTGCTCATTTGCTTTTGCTTCTCCTTCACCTTGCTGCTAGCTAGTTCACTTTTTTTTTTTTAAATGTTCAATTAGTCCTTTTGCAGCACTAACGGCTCTCTCAATTCCAGAATACTTTAATGCGGCACCGATCACCAGCTGCAACGTGTGGCCAGTGCAGCGGATACTGCTCCACCCATGCTGGTCTTTCAGAATGTTCGCAGCAGCCACAATATTTGCACCGTTTTCATGCACAATGGCAATTCATTTTTGAGCTGGAATTAAAAATTTTGCAGCCACCTCTTCAACCATTCTGTAATGTTTGTGGCTGTATGTATGTCTTCCAGAGGCATGGTAGTGAGGCAAATAGATATAATCTTCCAGTCATCTATGTAGTGGCATGTAATGCCAAGGTAAGCCTCAGTCGCTATACTTGTCCACATGTCCGCAGTCAATGCAATTCTGCTTTCATTAGCACTGATGGCATTCTTTGCTTTTTGAACTGCCTCCTGGTATTCATCTCCCCTAGTTTGGTGAAAGGAGTTCTTGAGGGAATCTTATATCCAGGGTTTAGTACACTGATCAGGTTTTTAAATCTGTGATCTTCAACCATGGAAATTGGCCGCATGTCGGTGACTTATCATTTGCAGAATCAAATCTGTCAACTGCTGCTTGTTTTGCAGTGCACATGGCACTTCGATACACAAACTCTGCATTGTGCGCTGCTTCTTATTAAAATGACAAAGATATGATTAGTATGCAGAAAAAGCTACTTCTGTGTAACTCATTCAGTGTATCATTTTGGTTTAACTTACTGTGATGACGATGTTTCGCTCTCCTCTGCGAAGCCAACGTGTTTCCTTTTCATGTTCTCATGCGTCACTGTGGTGCTTCCGTGCTCCTGTTTGCAAATTTTGCATGCGACTTTATAGTGTTTAGCGTAAAATGCTCCCATGCCTTTGAGTACTTGGTTTGCATGCTTTTTTTCAACGGTCACCTTGTCTGCACCCTCTGCCTCTGCCATTTTTTTAATGTGTCTTTTTTTGGTTTCTTTTTTTGTTTGTTTTTCTGCAGCTGGAAGTAAAAAAAAAAAGTGTTGTGCAATATAGTGAAATGGAAAGTGTGTAAATTATACAGCAATCATTGCAGAATGGCAGTGGCTACAGAGGACTACAAATCCCCAGAAATAGTACATTATGCAGCTATAGAGTAATACAAATCCCACTATTCCAGCAATACATTAATACAGCACCATGTAGGGGGAAAGTGCAGGCAGTCTTACCTACACAATCTCCAAGCAACTTTCTTTCCCGAGAGCTTGGGCCGAGATCGTAGGCCTGTCTGTCTGCACTGGCAGCTGCTCTTCCCCCACGCCACAGTCTCCCAGCAACGACCGTGTTAGTGTTGGCGGGCAGCAGCAAGTCAGTGAGAGTTCAGCGGTCGGGAGGAGGTGCAGCGTGTGTGGAGCCACCAACAGGATAACTAAACGATGACGGGAAACCGTTGACGTTTTCCATCATTGATTGCAATCGGCTTAGTTGATTAGTTGTTAAAGCCCTATTTTCCATACTTCAGCTCTGGGTCTTCCCTATGTAATTTGGCCCTGGGGAAGTTGTGTGGCTAATTCCTCCTAACTTTTTTCAATCAAAAGCATTAAAAAAAATAATATATCTCTATAGATCTATATCTAGCTATAGATATATATCTATCTATATATATAGATAGATAGATGCAAACATTGTAGCAGATGACAAATATGCCCTTACTTGTACAACTATATAAACTCAACTCCAACCAAAAATGCTTCTTCAGTTTTGAACATAGTAGAAAAGCGTTGAGAACCTTCCCTGTAGGGGTTTAGAACTGGTTTTGGTTGTTGTTGTTGGGGGGGTTTTGTTTCTGTTCTGCTTACTTTCTATTTAGGTGACATGTCGGAGCTGGAAGAGTGGGTAACTTTCTTAACCCAGAAGCGATAATAACCCGATAGTTTCCCTTCCCAAGTCTGTGCAAACATTTTGTCAAAAAATGCATTGTTGGATGGGAACGCTTAAAACTCCCAGATGGGGTGAAAGGTAGAAGAACAGGAGGCACCATCAGGAACCAATACATTTTCTGATGGAACTACCATTGCCATCCATAGCACTCCTGTTTTCCCAGAATGCTTATGCAAATTCCAACATTTGTGTGGCAGTTCAAGGCCCTTAATAGGTCACTAAAGCCATTGCTGCTAGTTGATAGAGGGTGGCATTACCATTTACATGAGCACTGTATTTGAATAGGCAGTTTTGAAGCGTATAGTTTCTCAGATGTCTTGCTGAAAATCCATGTACCATCTTCATCAATTTGTTGCATTTTAAAAAATTACAGTTTAGTGGTATTCATATACTTGAAAATCTACAATTATTAAAGTGAACTTTCTGTTATGATTACAAAAAACATTACATATCCATTTTTGAATTATTTTGCCTTTTAGGTCCCATTCACATCAGGGCGACAGCGTTTCACGCGTGTTTTTAGGCACATATAAGCACTGAAACGTGATTTACAAACGTGCTGATCAGCGCTACAAAAGTAGTTTCAGATGACAGGCGTATTTGAACGTGCAATTCCGTGAACGGCCCCCATAGGAGTGTATTGGATTTTAAATGTTGGCATTTCAGTGTGGAAAAATCAGCGCAAAGAAACCGCCCTGGTGTGAACTGGGCCTTATGGCCCTAAAGTTTCATAAGACTTCAAATGGGTACAAAAAACAGCTCAGGGAGTGCAAGGCCGGAGATGGCTGACATTGCAAGACCAGCTTACAAAAAAGATTAATGGTTGCCAACAGCTTCATTTCTATAGCCAAGTACTTCTTTCATAAGTGCTTCTTTGTATGTTTTACATTTTGCAGCTAAGGGAGCAATGTGGGTTTTACTGTTTTACATATATACATGTGCGTGCTTTACTTAGTAATGTTAATTAAATGACTTTTCTTTAATTTGCAGCATAATCTTCAAGAAAAGCTACAACTGCGTTACACAGAATTGGCTAGCAGGTAATCTAATGCTGAGATAAAAAGATTTACTTGGGCTGTATTTAAATTTATTTATTTTACTGCTGAAAGAAATTAACTTTTTAAAGGGTCACTAGTGAGAATAAAATCCATTCCAAAAACTCTTATGCTTGGTGTGCTGTATCTACATTTAGGATAAATGTTGTGAATACGACCTTACTATAAGTCTCTGGTTCAAGTTGTATATTCAGAAACCATTAGCCCTCGTTCACACCTAGGCGTATTGCAAAAGCGCGTCTGTCACCGCGATTTGCGGTAAAAAAGTTGCGCGACCACGAAGGCTACTTGGCTGTATTCCAATGGAAAACGCCCTACAAAACGGCCCAAAGTAGTACCTGTACCTTTTCAGGCGTGGGCCGTTTTGTAGCGCGTTCGGGACGGGCGGAAATACGGCAAGGTGGGAACGAGTCCATTGACTCCAATGCAATTTATATTTTTGAGCGTTTTGTAGAGCGTTCTTCGAGCGTAGAACGCGCTACAAAACGTTCAGGTGTGAACGAGGGCTTAGTTCCAGCACTGGAGGCCACTATTGAAACCCAGGGTTTAGTGTGGTGAAGTAGAGCCTTTCAGAGAACACCGTAGGGGTGAAATGATGTTAATAGCTGACTAATATAAGAGTAGCATTTACCTTAGCTGAATTTCTGTATTGGTTTCCCATATTATGCTGATATGGCAAAATATTGGTGCATGTGCAGCTAGTGAAATGTGTAGAGGGCTGGAGTAGAGCACTGCTCTATACATCCTTAAGTAAACCAGGCTTATTTGCAAAAAATCACTGCTGTGATCATGGCTTTCAGGTTTGCCTGGCATGCAGGCATTTTCAGAGTAAAATATGAAGTTGCCCTGGCAGAGAACAAATAAGACATGCATATGACAGGTGTAGGGTTATCTGGTGTTTAGTTGTAACACAAGCAAGGATCATGGTAAGTAGAATCAAGAGAAAGAGTAGTAACAGATAAAGTCCAAAAGTGTTAGGAAAGTCTCAGATGTTCTTCAAAGAACGTGTGGCACATTAGTGCCTGCATTCCAGTCCAGTGTAATCTGCAAAAAATGCTGCAAACACTTTTGTTTGCAGATCGCACTGGACCAGAACGCAGGCACTAATGTGCTACACGTTCAAGTGCCGGCGATCGCACTGCGGGGAGGGCGTGGCTGCGGTGCCATTGAGTTCAATGCACTGCCATGCACCCTCCCGCCCCCCCAAAAAACAGCTGGCTGGGTTGCGTTCCAGAGGCCGAACACACTCCTGATGGTGTGACAGGGCCCTCACTGCAGACAGGCAGACATAAAATACTAAAATCACTGCAGTCCATGTTCTCCTTAATATGCAGTTATACTTTTTTTTTTTTTTTTTTTTTTTTTTTTTTTTTTATGCAAGCAGTTTAAAAATCTGAATTTGACTTGACATCAGCCTCTTGCAGTCCACTGTACAGCAGAGATCAGACAGGGAGAAGAAGCAGCACAATAAACCAGTCAATTGTGCTGCAGTGCTCATATGTGAGCAAAGAACATGCTTATAGGCGGAGAAAGCACAGTAACATAAGCTCATAAGTCTGCGGCATTTCCTTTTAATGTCCAGCCACTGCCTTTAGGAGGGACAGGCCCTTTAGGTGTTAGTCAACTGTAGTTGGCAAAATGTAGTTCTCCAGCCCTGTCGGATATGGCTGTGATGTGTGGCAAAGCTGTGTAAATCTCAGTATTGGGCTGTCAGAATTGACAGAAATACAAATCCTTTGGCATACCTATATGTATTTCTCGTATGTATTTAATAGTGCCTGGAGTTCGGCTTTAGAGAGCGACGCTGTCCCTAATTGTTGCATGCAAATAAACCTTGCCCATGTAAAAGAAAAAAATGGACATGCTTGCCTCTCCTGCACACTCAAATGCCGTTCTGATCAAACAGATTTTCCTGCTGAAGTGTTAAGAAACCAACACGTTCAGGAGTGTCAATCTCTTGGTCCCCTGCAGTGCTTACCCTTTTTATATTTTTGTATCTTGTCACATTTTAAGTTTACTCATTTCCATTTGTGTTTATATGATGCTTTTGTGTAGCTCATACATGTCCAGGCATGCACACAGGGCTGTTTGCATAACGTTAGTGGAACCTGCACAGGTTGGGCATGCCTGTTTAGGCTTAGTGTATGTGGCTGTAAGAGCTAAAGGCAGCTCACAACATAACTAGGCCTAACCCAGTCAGAGATTTGTTGTTGTTGTAGTAGTATGGTTGGTGACATCAGAAATGTCTCGCCATTGCCGAAACAGTCATGGCGCATTCTGCTGCATTTGTGGTGAGTATACACTTAAAGCAGCATTAAACATTTATTTTCCCAATAACGTCTTCCAGGATAGCATTGCGATAGATGGAGTCTCCTCCTCAAACCACATGGGTGCATGTCACCCATTTAGATTTTGAAAGGCCCGCCTCTTCTCCAATCCCTCGTCTATGTTTCCTCGGTCAAACTGGGGAATGCGTCACTGCAACGCTGGGGAGCTTCCATCTTGCAGTTTATTTGCCTGGGGCTTCCCTCCTATGTTACCAATCTGCCTGCCTATCTGTGGGGAACTGATTTCACTGGCAGTATGTAGGCATGCCTACCTGATTGCGGCCTCCAGTTAGTCCTCCTATGCAGTCGAAGGGGGTACTCTGGCTTCTTTCTCCTTCTGTGCACGGAACCGACAGATCTCCCATGGCTGGGCCCTTGAAAATGAGTGTCTGCCAGTCAGAGGGGTTTGTGCGGTTTCCAGGTCAGAGGGAAGTGTTCCACAGCCACAACGGGTGGCCGCGTACGTTCCTTTTGGTGTGAGTGCAGTCCCGGGCACCGAGGCAATGCGTTCCCGGCCTCATTTTCGGCGCAGAAGGATGGGTAAGGCCTTGGCTGGTCATATGTGGCGCCGCTCTTAGTAGTGACTATGAGGACGCTGGTGGTTTTGTCTCTCTTCAGCACGCGCCGCATAATGGACTCTGAGCAACCGCTGCAGTCTTCTACAGCAGCAGCAGACACTGGTCCTTCTGGTACCAGCCCGGCTCGGGTATGGTGGTTTTATGTATTTACAATCTTACCTCCCGGTTACCTCTGACCTTTTTCTCCACCTGGGGTCCCTTGATGTAGGGCGCTTTGGTGTTGAGGGGCACTCTTGACCTGGGTGTTTGGAACTTATTTCCTCCTTTTGGTTACTAGGGCTACAGCTAGCAATTATTTTCATAATCAATTAGTTGGCTGATATATTTTTTTTTTATCAGATAAAAATATTTTTAATGATTAAATATTAAAGGGGTTCTAAACCCTCCGTTTTTTTGCCTATATCTACTGCTAGCATGCAGTAGATGTAGGCAAGAAGTGTAAAAAAAAAACCCGCTTAAAATCCTTTTTAAACTTACCTCGTTATCGCCGCTCGTTCCCGCGCCGAGAATCAGGAACTGCTCGTACGGCCGCAAAGGATGTTGGGGCGGGCGCATGCGCAGTTCCGATTCTCGGCCGGGAGACTAGCAGAGACGCAAGGTAAGTCTATGGACGCGTGCACCCGCCTGCAGACACCGCTGGATCGGAGAGACAGAGCAGTCAGCGCTGGATCGGAGTGACATCACACCGCTGGAGGGACAGATGAAAACATGGGGAAAGAAGAGGAAGATTGGAAAAAGAGACATCATTTAAGGTAAGTGCTAACATTTACATTGGGGGGAGGGAAAAAATGTTTTGCCTTTTTAATGTCACTTTAATTATTTTGATATTTGATTAATGTTTAATAAAAATTTTTTTACATTTAATGTATATATCCTATTCATTCTTTCTGTACAGCTCTTATTCCTAGCATATGTCACAGATAGAACTTGTGCAGGAAGGAAAACCTTGCCAAGCGGACTTCTCCTGGACTCATGCTTGGCTTTTGCCTAGCTGAGCGCGGGAAAGGATATGGCTGGACACACTGCATGCGAAGCTCTATGTACCGCAATTTGCCTCTGCTGTGCACGCAGCTCAGTGTGCAGTGTGTTCGCTGCCTGACAATCGCCCCCATCGTTGTGCACGGTCTTCTCCTACAAACCCCCCCATCCTGGTTGTTACGCCACTCACTCCACTCACTGCATGTATGCACATACCTTACTTAGCCTGTCTACAGTCCACTGCAAAGTACTGTTACTCACTGTTCGTGAGCAGCCTGGGGAGTAGGAGGAGGGGGAGGCTGAGACACAGGGGAGGACTGTTGTCACTGCACTACATCCCGGCAGATAACTTCAGAAGCTTCCTGTACATCCCTGCTGACACAGGCTCTATATGCTCTACTCCGTGCTGGCCACAATTCCCGGCCAGTGTATCCACAGTTCCCCGGGTATCTTGAATGCTGTGCAGTGCTCCACCTGGTCTCCTCGGCTCTTTTCCCTGGATGGCCTGTCAGCACGTTCAGGTTAGTCCAGGAGTGGTCTGCCAGTGGTGGGGAGAGGGAGGGTGTGAAGAGCTGCAAGCAGCCCAACTAATCGATGATGAAAATCGTTGACGGCAATTAGTTGTTGCAGGCCTGTTAGTTACTCTTTAGGCAGGCTAAGGCTTCGGATAAAACAAAGTGGCATCTAAAAAGAAATGCGCTGTTTGTTCAATCAAACCAAGCTCAAATTACTCTAAACCTTTTTGCCAAAAGTGTATTGACAACCTATTTAAAGAAGAATCCATCTCAGCTTGCAGTAATCGTTTGAAAGTAGAAGATAATTCCTCCTTAACTGTATACAATCATTTAGGTCTATATTACAAAATGTTAAACCCAGTTCTAGTACTGTCCCATTACCCACCCCTATGGGTTTTGGCCCTTGGGGTCTTTAGGAGTGTCTGAGCATAAGGATCGGAGTGAACCAGGTCCCTCCCATAATTACTCGTCATCAGAGGAATTAAGTACCCAGGAGGATGTCTCCAGTGCTTCCAGATATAAGTTATCTCTAGATGATGTAGATGACCTAATGAGTGCCATTTTATAGCACTTTGTGTCTGGGGAGCTGAACATGTTCTTCTTGCATCTCCAATCTCCATGTATCAGGGATTACAGCAGCAGAAAACCAAAGTTTTTTTTTTCCCTGTGCATAAGGTTCTCTCAGAAGCAGTTCTTAGAGAATGGGCAGACCCAGAGAAGAAGCCTCTCTGATCTAGCAATCTTAAGCAGAGGTTCCCTTTTGACAATGGCCCTGCTTTAGTTTGGAACAAGACCCCCAAACTGGATGCTCCTTTTTAGTTAGTTTCCAAAAAATCAGACTTGGCTTTTGAGGACATGGGGATTCTCAGAGAGCCCATTAACAAGAAGATGTAGATCTTGCTTGAGAGCTTTGGACTCTTCTCTTATGAATCTTAAACCTGCCTTAGCCACTACTTGTGTGGCTAGAAATTTGGAGTTCTGGCTCTCAATTGAAGACCCACTTGCTGGCAGGAACTCCCAGGGAACCGCGCTATGACTCTCTTCCAATGCTCTTTAAGGCTGTTGGGTTTATTGCAGATGCCTCTGGCGAATCCGTTAGGTTGACTGCCAGATCCTCGGCACTTATTAACTCCTCTCGCCGGGCCTTGTTGAAAGCGTGGGAAGGGGGTGCAGCCTCAAAGCTTAGGTTATGTTATCTCCCTTTTTCAGGGGATTTACTTTTTGGTCCTGAATTAGAGACAATTCTTGAATGAACAACGGACAAGAAAAGGGCTTTCCTGGGAAAAAGAGTCTTTTTTGAAGGTTTGTTTCAAGGTTCCAGGAATAAACCTCAGGAAGGTAAGGAGGATAAACACAAAAAGCATTGATTGGGCCAAAAGGGCAGGGGGAGGATTCTCTTTAATCCTCCCTCCCAAAGCCACAATGACGGTCCTCCAGTGGAGGTAGGTTGAGGGCTTCCTACCATGCGGGATGGAGACTACCTCCAATCAATTTATCCTGAATCTAAAAAGGGAGGGCTACAGGTTGGAATCCCAACAGTTTACCTCTCAGACTTTTTCTTGTTAGAGATCTACCAACGCGGAGGCTTTGTCTCCTTTTTTTTTTTTTTTTTTTTAGGGGACCTGGTAGACCAGGGAGGTCTCTCGGGTTCTAAAGCAGAAGGAGGGTCAAGGGTTTTACCACATCTTCTTTAGTGAAGACACCTCCGGGGAAATTTTTGTGTTGCTCCTCAACTTAAAGCACTTAAACGTGGTGATAAAATACAAGAGATTCAGAATGAAATGTATCTATTCAGTCAGGGCCCTCCTACAACCCAGATCCTACGTGGCGACGTTGGATTTAAGAGACTTGTATCTTCACATTCCTATTCACCCGGCCTTTCAACAATTTCTCAGGTTGGCGGTGAGGATAGGTCCAATAATACACCATTACCAATTCGAAGCTCTCCCGATCGGGCTGTCTTTAGCCCCCCCGGATATTCTCAAAGGTATTTTGGGGGAAGCTCTGGTCCCCCTGAGACTTGAGGGAATCAACATCATACCCTATCTAGATGACATCGTGTTGTCTGCCACCTCAGGCAACCAGTTGGAGAGGGATTTAGTGGTAACACAGAATTGGTTACAGGATCTGGGATGGCTCATGAATCTCATGAATCTGGTGTTCTGATGCAGAGAGCAACACTGATGTAATCACTGCTGGAAAAAATGAAAGATTAAAATCTTGCTTGTAATGTGATTGACCTAAAAAAGGAAAATAAAAAAACTGATGAGGGGGCCTCCAGGGAAGAGGGGCAACAAGGGGTCAGTGTCTTAAGACTAGTTTAGAAATGTTTTTTTATCTTTTCATTTTTAGGTCTCCACCACCTCCAGCTCTACCAGTGGGTCCAAGCCATAAGTTTGCCAACAACTATTATTGTTCACGTGATGGACGCAGAGAAGCTATACCCCCTTCAATTATTATGTCTTCCCAAAAGGCTCTAACTTCTGGAGGCACTTTAGTCAGGTATGTAACAAACCTATTCCACAGGTTACAGCAAAGCGATCTGTTTCAGCCAAAATTGAATAGAGTAATGCACATCACTTCCGCCTTTTAGAAAGCGGAGGAGAATCGGCAAGTAGGAGAATGGTGATCTCTCCTCCGTTTACAGTGTGACCCAGCCGCTGTGCCGGTCCTGGGCCCACAGGGGGGACAGTGGAGCACTGGATAACTGGTGGCGGTGGAAGGGGGGGGGGGGAGGCAGCGGAAAGGGACTGCATACTGTTAAGAGCCGCCAGAATGCTTGTATGGAACAGCCGTATGCTGCCCACCCTGAACCATTCCACATCTGAGGTCTTGTTTACATGCTATAGGAACTCTCTCTGGGGTTGCTGGAGAACATGACAGTTTTATGAATATAGCACAAGACCGGTCTTGAGGGCATCCAAGTACTGTTCGGCATACAAGCCTTAAAGGAGAACTATGGGGTCAGGGCTTTTTCCCCATAGTTTTCCTAAGGGTAATGGGAGGACACAAACTAGCGTCCTCCCATCACCCAAAGCTCAGTATACCGCAAGCTACAGCTTTGATCCCATAAGGCAATCGGATATTCCCTGGATCAACAATATCTGATGCTTAATATACCTTTTAAGAACTCAATATCCAGTAATATTCTGTGCATTTAGGAATACATCCAGATGTTTTTTTTTTTTTTTTTAAATGGTTAGCTCCTGGAGGAGTCTGTTCCACATTTTACTGCTCTAACTGTGAAGAATCTTTTCCGTATGCAAAGGTTAAACCTCTTTTCCTTCAGATGCAAAGAGTGCCCCCTTGTCCTTTGCAGTGACCTTAACGTGAATAATTTGGCACTTGGCTCTTTATATAGACCATTTATGTATTTATACATGGTGATTGTATCCCCCCTTAGTCGCCTCTTCTCCAGAGAGAACAAATTTCAGGTCAGCTAATCTTTCCTCATAGCTGACCTCCTCCATGCCTCTTATGAGTTTTTTTTTTTTGAGTCTCTCTCTAGCCCCTCCTCCCCCCTCTCTCTCTCTCTCTCTAGCTTTGCTTGTTTGGAAAAATAGTGTAAATCTAAAGCTTTAACTTGGATAATAAGTTATTTAAATATAATTTGAATCTAGCACATTCCCCTTGAGTGTTCATTGTTGTGCATAATTTTTTAAATTTTATTTTCTTGTAGCTCAGATTCAGCGGTTTCAAGCGCTACAAAAAAACCAGTGACGCCTGGAGTTTGCCCTCCTAAATGGGAATTGTCACATGATCAACCCTACCTGTGAACAGTTCATGGAAGATTTTGTTCTATAATAATTCACAATTAACTGTACTGTAAAAATAAACAAAAATCTCAAAGTATGTGTTTTGTTTTTGCATAAGAATCATATGATAAATCTTACCATATGTAATATCCTAACATCAGAGTTCCAATTATGGTTCATTTCACCTTTTATCATGATTATATTTCTATGCATAAAGTGTAGCCACAGTGAATTTTTAATTTCTTCATAAAATATATATTTTCGGTTTATACACTGATGGTGTGTTATGTGTTTTAAATGTGGTTAATCTCTTTCTTCTGTTTTGATTAATTGAGGTAGAAAAGTGTGGGTTATTCACCTCATAAGGCTTCATTCACACATAGTATTTTAAAATCGGCACTTTTGTTTTTTGCGCGGAAAAACGGAACAGTCGTACATGCGCACAAAACATGCATGTTTTTCTATGCACTTGTGGCTACAAGCACGGTCTTTTGGGGGACAGAACACGGTGAAATCACCAAGAAAATTGCGCTTGGACTTTTTGCCACGTTTTTGTGTGCGCATATGAATGCGCACGTGTGAACGAGCCCCATAAGAATATTACTTTTTTGTTTTGCACGTATAGATACACGTGCAAAAATGCTAATGTGTGAATGGAGCCTGATGTGTGATGGAAGAGTGAAGGAAAGGGTGGAAGAAAAAAAAGGAGGGCGAAAGAAGGGGGTTGGGGGGGGGGGGTAGTAAAGGTTAAGAGGAGGTTAAAGGCATAGGATGAAAAAGAGGGATAGATGGAACAAGAGGAGATATTGAAGCATCAGAATTGGTGGAGGAGAGGCCTAAGTTTTCCCAGTATTACACCAACCATTGGGGGTAGCTTCAGATCTTGATCTAGTGGGAAGTGATTATATTTGTGGGCTCAGTATTTATTGTAGGTTCGTTATACCCTAGTTTTGCTAGTGGAGTTATATTATTTTTTTTGTTTTTCTTTATTTTGCTGGCCTATGGAGTCGCTGGTCCCCCTCTGTGCAGCTCTGCTTATGCTATGGTTCGATGAGGCTTTGCTGTAGGTGTAAAGGGTTTTCCCTGTGTTACTTCCAGGTTCTCATCTTCTTTCGTTTGGATGATTCCTGATGACCTGGCTGAAAAGACCCTGTGTAAGGGCCCATTTGTGCTGGAGGCACTGCGGATTGCTTTTGGCCAGCGGTAGTTTAAGGCGGAAGGTGCTGGGGGCGGAGTGTGCGGTTTCAGGCCTCGTTTTGAGTGCGCTGCATTTCTGGCAGGGGACAAAGCTGAACGTCTCTACCACTGTGCGCTTCCCTGCACGAGGACACCAAATCCAGCTCTGCACTCATTGCCGGCTACTAGTGATCCAAGACAGTTTGGGAGAAAAAGCTGCTGCTGCCACCATGGAAAATTGCAAGCAGATCAGTGTCGCATCCAGAACCAAGGTGGTGGTAAGCAGTTACCATGCTGTCTGGGGGTTCTGTCTGAAACGGTGGTCAGCATTAAGGAGGCACTAAAAAAAGCTGTCACCCAGTGTCTGTTCCACAGTCTGCCCCAGCTCCTAAGCAAATTTAGGGGAGCTGCAGCAACTGTAACATTATCCTTCCTTCTGACTATAAGCCTCTTTGTGAATGAAAAGGTTTGTTACTAGTGAATCCTCTAATCTTATCAAAGGCATTTTTAGAATGAAGTCTGAAATGGTAGCTACGGTACAGGCGTTTAGGAATGTAATCTCCGAATTGTTGCCTTCTTCCTCTGCTCCTGTAATCACCGGTCCTTCAGTTTCTAGCTCAGGGTTGTGGGACAGGCCAAGCCAGTATCCATTTTGAAGGTATTGGATAGGGGGACATCAGATAACGGTTCTATTTCAGATAGTGCTCTGGCGGAAGGAGAAACGGTAAATGAAGATGGGGACAGCACCACTTCTAGACGCCTTTTTCCGTTAGAAGAGATGGACTATTTGTTGCAGGCAATTTACGCCACTGAAAAAATTCCTGATCCTACCCACGAGCTATTTTAGTTCAAGATAGAGTATACATTGATTTGCTTGAACAGCAAGTTTAGTGTTTCTTATCCATTAATCACTTAAGGGTTTAGTTGCTAGAGAGTGTAAAGAAGCTGAGCGTAAACTGTTATCTTTCAGATCATGGAAGAGGAACTTCCCCCTATAGCAAAGAGGATGAGGAAAAATATTTCAAATGTCCCAAACTGGGTGCTGCTTTGGCACAGGTCTCTAAAAGAGCAGATCTATCTTTTGAGGATGCTGGAAACATTTAAAGATAAAATGGACTGGAAGGCAGAAGCTTTGTTACGAAAAGCCTGGGATGTTAATGTAGCAGCTACCTGTGTAGCCAGGAATTTAGATCTCTGGCTAGAAAGGGTTTCTCAGCATATCTCAAGGTATTCTAGGTTGCCATTAAATAAAAACCCAGAGGAGGTTTGCTCTTTAATACTCCGGAGCACTCCAACAAGGATTTGAAATGACCCCATAAAAAAGGTGAGGGGGAAGACTTTCTCTTTTTCCTTTCTCAATAAGAAAAGATTTCAGAAAGTCTGTATATTTTGGACGTTTTGAAAATGGGTTATCGTGAGTTTCTTGTAGTTCCTCCTCAGACCTTTTTTCTTGCAAAACTCCCCAAAGATCAGGTAAAGGCCTCAGGCCTTTACTGGATTGTATTCAGTCTCTTGTTTTCCCAGTTGCAGAAAACCAAATGTTCCAGGGATTTTATTCCCATGTGTTCCTAGTTCCCAAACCTGGGGGCAGATTCAAATTGATCCTAAACCTGACAAGACTGAACCAATTCTTAACCTTCAAACAAGTTTTTCGCATGGAGAGCATTTACTCTGATTTGAGTCTGGAATTTAAAGGATGCGTATCTTCACATCCTGATTTGCCTGGAGCATCAGAAATTTCTGCGGTTTGCTATGCAAACAGAGAAGGGAGTTTTCCATTGGCAATTCCGGGCTCTTCCCTTTTGGACTTTCTTCAGCTCCAATAATTTTCACAAAAGTATTGACAGAAGCGGTAGCTGCTTTGTCTTCAGGGATTCTTTGATTCCTTATGTGGATGATATCTTGATTTTTATGCATCTTCAGCGATGGAAGTTTTACGGAGTCTGCAGAAAGTCAGGGAGTTGTTGGAAAACCTGGGATGGATTTTAAATCCGGAAAAGTCGATTGATCAAAAGTCAGTTGATTTTTTTTGGCTATCGGATAGATTTGGTACTTTATAAATGTGTTTCTTACGGAATAAAGGATTACAAATATTATATGCCTAGCACAGGAGGCGGTTGCCAGGGAATTTGTGACCCTAAGAGAAATAATGAGGTTGTTGGGGGTGATGGTGATGTCTATCACTGCTCTGAACTGGGTCCAATTGAATGCGAGGCCACTTCAGACATTACTATTGTCTCAGTGGGACAGGAGGAAAGAGTCCTTAAACTTCAAGGTTCAGTTGCCAGTGGAAGTGTGGCAGTCTTACCTAGTGGATGGCGCCAGAAAGGTTGGCGGAAGGCAGACTGTCGATTCGGGACATTCCAAACAAGATTACCACAGATGCCAGCTCTTGCGGTTAGGGAGGTGAGAGCCGCTGTTTCCCGGGGGAAGGAATGGTGATCCTTAGGCATAGATATGTTGGGCTAAGATTGGACCTTCAGCCTGAAGTATGCCTTCCCTCCTCTGTCTCTGCTTCCTCGGATTCTACAAAAATTGAGCCACTCAAGTTGGTATCCCATCCTGATTGCCCCTTGATGGCCCAAGAGGACTTGGTTCACAGATCTTCTATTGAGGTCTGTTCTACCTCCTTGGGGTCTACATCCCATGAAGGATCTTCTGTCCCAAAGACCAGTGTTGCATCCAAACCTGAATTGTTTTCGGTTGATGGCATGGTTCTCGAGAGGAGATTTGTTAGAACAAAAAGGATGTTCAGATAAGGTGACAGGCGTTCTTATTTTTAGTAGAAAGTTAGTCATTAGGAAAATTTATGCCGAAGTGTGTAATGTCTTTTTCTTTTTCATGTGTGTGCAGGAATATGGTTACCCCTTCGGTTCCTGTGATTTTTTTTTTTTTTTTTTACTTTCAGGTGGGCTTTGAAAAAAAACTTTTTGTCTTTTTGGATAAGAAATTGTTGGAGGACCGATTGCATGTCCCACTCAAAGGGTTTACTCCCTGGGATCTTTGCATGGTTTTGGGTGGCTCCGAGCATCCATTGGAACCGATTTTCTAGCATTTCTATTGAGTGGTTGACAGTGAAAAGTTGTTTTTGTTAGCCATTACCTCAGCTAGAAGAGTTGGAGATCTCCAGGCATTGTCCATTTTAAGGACCCTTACGCTGTCATGCTCTCAGAGTATTCCTCAGGCCAGACCCTTTTCTATTTGTCTAAAGTATCTTCTTCCTTTTTCATAGGTCCAAGGAGATTCCTCTGCCTTCCTTTTGTGACAGTCCTCAGAATTCTAGGTAAGAGGTGTTCCATACATTAGACGCTGTCTTCTTAGATATTTAGAATTTACTAAAAATGTTTGTTTTGAAAATCCAGTTATTTTATTTGTTTTGTTTTTTGGTGCCAAAACTTCTACGACCAGATGGATTAGGCCATTGTTTGTGTATAGATCAGAGAATCAGGTTTTTCCTAGTTCAGTAAGGACTAAGTTTTTAGCCATCTCCTGGGTTGAAAGAGTTGGGACTTTGGTGGAACAGATCTGCAGCGCAGCTGTTTGGTCATGGCAGGATACCTTCCTCAACGATTACAGAGTGGAAGTTCTGTCACAACAGGACTTAGTTTTTGGGAGAAAAGTACTACAAAAGTACTACAATCTGTAGACCTACTCTGAGAAGGTAGGCTTCTGTGTGTGCGTGCTTGCTTGCTTGCTTGCTTGCTTATCTCATCTCAGGTTGCCGTCCTGGTAGATGATTGGAGAAATGCTCCTTTAGACTTACTGGTAATTATTTTTCTATGACTCTTCCAGGCGGCAAGCCTATTTCCCACCCAGAACTATTATTCTGTGTTTTTGATTTTGGGTGAAGGTTTTTCCCTCGTGCACTGGTGGAGGTAGTATACTTTTATTTCAACTGAGGGGCA